ATGGCTAAGGGAAATTCTATGTCCCAGAGGGAAAGACATTTGAGGAGATTTGGATGTCCTGGGGGATCAGATATACTTGGAGTAGGGTATGGTAAGGGTCAGGGACACATGAATTAATTCTCCCATCACCCCAAGTACATCATTAGTAAAATGATACCAGGAAAGCCAGGCATGGTGATACACACATAAACCACCACACTCAGGAGGCTGACGGAGGGGGAATCTCTGTGAGTTCAAAGTCAGCCTGGTCTACAGAGTGAATTCCTACACAGTCAAAACAAACAAACCAACCAACAAACAACAAAGAGGGTGAGAGAGCAGAAAGAAGGAAGGGAGAGGAAGAGGGGGAGAAGGGGGAAGAGAAAAAAACAACCAGAGAACAGGTGAGAAGAGTTGAGACTCTCACATGATCTGGAAGTTGTCCAAGGTGGTCAGGCATAGGCTGAACCAGATGTTGGAAGCATGGCCCTAGGCCCAGAAGTATAAAGGGTCAGACATCTGAAGGTAACTTGGTGTCCTGAGGGACCAGTTATAAGGGACAAGTCAAAGACCCTGCAGGGTGGATCTAGAGTTTAGCAGCTCCAATGTCCTAATGATAATCTGGCCCCTGAGAGGTTCCGAGGGAAACTCATTTTCTACCACCAACTGCCCAGGTCTTCCGTACTTCCTGGAGGAGCCTGAGGACAAAGCTGTGCCGGCCAACACCCCCTTCAACCTAAGCTGCCAGGCCCAGGGACCCCCTGATCCCGTGAACCTACTCTGGCTTCAAGATGCTGTTCCCCTAGTGCCCATCACAGGCCACAGCTCCCAGCACAGGCTGCAAGCTCCAGGTGAGTCCAAGAGCGGGGACCAAAGCAGGGGATTGAGGGCCCTTTATTCACTGTGGCTGACCACTTGCCCCTGAGACTTTCTCATCTGTCCGTCTGTTCTCCACCCCTCTGTCTCTCCATCACTTTCTCATTCCCTCTCTGTATGTGTTTCTGTTCACCCCAGCCTCTCTCTGAATAGCATTCTTTGTCCCAAATTTCCTCTAAGCTGTTCAGTGGCCCAAGTGTGTAGGCCTGCTGCTCCTTTGTTAGCCCTTGACCCAAGCAGGGCATCAGAACTAACCAGTACCCTCCTCCATCTGCCTCCTGCCCTGAAGAGTCCCCTGGGCCTCAACTAAGGGGAGGAGGTCTCTGCTCAGCTGAGGTGTCCTGGCAAAATAGAGCCCAGGATACAATGAGGGAGAGAAAGGGAGCAACAGAGAAAGACAGATAGAGAAGACAAGATGGAAGCTCATACCTGTAATCCCAGAACTCGGGAAGCTGAGCAGAAGGACCATTTTGAGGTCTGTCTAGATGACATAGTGAGTTCTAGGCCAGCCTAGGTTACAGTGTGGGACCCCGCCAACCAAGAAAAGCAAAGGGCGGAGGTTGTTGATCATTTGGTGCAATTGTTGCCTAGCATGCAAGAAGCCCTGGATCCATTCAAAGCACCCCATCCTTGGTGGTGTATGCCTGTAATCACAGCAGTTGGGTGGTGGAGGCAATAGTGCCACAAGTTCCAGACCAACCTCAATTATCTATCAAGTTCAAAGCTAGCCCTGGCCACATACTAAGTTCGAGGCTAGCTTGGGCTATAGATGGCCTTGTCTCAAGAAAGAAAGAAAAAAAAATCAGGGGCAGGGGAGGGAGGAAAACGAAAAGAGAACAGGCCACAGAAGTGACCTAGCATGGAGAGATATATGATAATATGATCTGAATGATAGGGCCCCATGTCAGACTGACCCTCCGTTTTTGTACAGTTGGGGCATTTTGGTCGTCAGAGACACGACTGGGGCACCTTGTACATAGAGTGTCCCTAGCAGAGAAGAAGGCATGGGGCACACACATGGGGGTGGCTCATCATGGGAAGACAGCCAAACCCTAAGAG